ATAGTGCAGTATAGTACAGGAATAAAAAAGATCTAGTGTTGCTAGAAAGCACCTGATATTTGAAATCAGACAAATATAAAACAAGTTACTCATATACATACTAATTACACACACATATTACATATGCAAAGATGTGTGCATGTATAAACACCTTGTTCCAGCTCCTCTCCAAAGCTGAGGCGCGTCTGCTTTGGTTTATCCTTCTTCGTTTTAACTTTGACTGGTTGTGCGTCCTCCACCTCCATTCTGTTCTCATTATCCTCGTCTTCATCATCGAAAGGACGTCGGCGTATGTTCCGCTTCGGCTTGTTGAATAATGACATTATCGTTGCAACGTTCTCCTCGACAACGGGACAACCGCTGCTCGAACTTGGTTGTTAAAGACGCGGGCTGAAAAGCGACACGTGTCGCATTACTGGAGATTGAATCGTTGAACTGTAATTAATCGTTGAACTGGAACGTACGCGCGGTATCACTTCGCATTAAATATCAACAGATCCGCGACATGCAATATTGAAAATCTTTCCAAAACTCGACTACATAAGTGGGCAGATACAGCCATCCGATGAGGATGAGGCTAAACGGCACAAAAGTAAATTATAATGGTCGCGAGAGGGCACCACCATCGCTTTGCAATGGCGACGCTTTTTTCCGATAAGTTTCGATAGAGATTGGCTGCGTTCAGCAGAATGTTTATTTTGTAACTGTTGGAAGTTTTCTTCGCGCTGATTGGATTATGCATTATAGATAAAAAAAATGGTCCAATCTCGGCAGAGAATCATAAAACGGTTGCAAAACGGTTGCTGTTGTGTTCTGCTGAACGCAGCCAGGTTCGTTCGTTCGGGCAGTTTCGCGATCATTTTTACGAACTCCGATTGACTTCGACTGATTGTTACATTGGAAATGACCAATCGCATTTGCTATTCAGTAGAATTGACAATCATAGTGACACTTAATTTATATATACCGATTAGGTTAATTGGAATTAAAACCGGCTCTCGGAATATTTGGGCTATTTTTATTATTAAAAAATAAAATACCTCTCACTTTACTAATGACTTTAAATAATAAAAATATATGTAATGATAATTTTGTGTAATAATTTAAAATAGAACGGAAAAAGGAAATTTTGATCAGTAATCCAGTTTTGTCCAGCCATTCTATTCTCAGTTCTGGGCAGCTGGGGTATAATATTCCGTAATTCACGTTACAAGTGCTTTGAAACAAATTCTTTGGTTGATCAATTTATAAAATTCTTTTTTTTAAGTTTAGTTAACGAAGCATTTACATTAAATAGATCGCATCCTTTCCGAAAAAAGTGAAATATTGTGCACCTACCTACACTTGCAAAAATGTGGAGCATGTGGGCTGTCTAGACATATATGTACCTGCATGTGTTTGGAGGTTAAGATGTTAAATTAGAAATTTTATATAATTTTTAAGTAACTATATTTATGTATTTTTAAACATTTTATGCGAATGTTAAAATACAATTGAAATTGTTTGAAAAAAAACTAATTTTATGAATACAAGTATAATTTGCAGTAAAGTGTTTAACTTAGCAAGATTAACGCTTATGTTCATAAAATTATTTACAAACAATTTAAATTGCATTTTAACATTTGTATA